TATGAATAAAAGAAATATAAACAAATTGAAAAAATGAAATCCATGAATAAGTTCACTGACCTAAATGGAATGAATCTAGAAATTATAGAGGTATCTGCATAGCTTATCTATAATTCTGTGGAAATTAGAAAAACAAAACAAAACAAAAAAGCTTCCTAATGATCCACAGTTAAAACAACAGCTATTCTAGGGAATAAGATGATAAATTAAGCTAATCAAAAATGAAAATACATCAAATGGAGGGCCCATGCAGTTCCAAAAGGGAAACTTATGGCTAAAGACTCTCACAATAAAAAGGAAAAGTCTCAAATCAATAAATCAGCTAGAAAAGGAGACAGCAAAATTAAAATGGAATTCAGTAAAATTGCAAGCAGAAACATAATAAAATGTGACAAAAGTCAGTCCTATTAAAAGTTCAATAAAGCTGATAAATCTTTAGTATGACTAAGAAAAGAAAAATACAGAATATGTAATCACTAATATGGAAAATAAATTGAGGTTATCACTGAAGATCTCAAATCATCAAAGATAATGATAAGTGAATGTTGTGAATATGTGATATAATGACAAATGAATGCCATGAATAATTCCATGCACATAAATTTATCATGTTAGATGAAATAGACCCATTTCTTTCAAAATATAATATACCTCAGCTGTGACAATTATGAATCTGTAAAATGATAAAATATGTAAAAGTAATCTGATAGTACTTTTATAATGATAAACAAGCCTTTTATTTATGTCAAATTCTTGATTTTGATGTCCTTATACTTAGATAAGATGTTACTCTTGGGATAAACAGTTGAGAAATATATGAGTCCTCTTTACATGATCTTCAATATTTCTTATGAATCTGTCATTTCAAAACAACAGATTTAATGATGAAAAAAGAACTACAAAAGTGCCTAACCTACTGGTACATATTATATTTAAATGGCTCAAATGTTCACATGTAATAGTAAAAGCATTTACCTTGTTAATATTCTATAATAATTTATAAATTCCATGAAAATGTAGCTATAGTGGATATTGAATCCTAAGTACTGTTCATTTATTTCCCAGTGATCTCTCATCAAATTTTCTTATATTTACTTCATGTAAACACATTGACTAGCAGGAAAATACATGAGACATTTCTAATTAAGTTAATCTGAGACTAAGATCTAAGAATGATAGAACTAATAGTGAATGGAAGATGACAAAAATATGGCTTTCCTACACTCTAGCACAATGCTTCTGAAACCAGGTGTGAGTGAGTGTGAGTGTGTGTGCTTCTCACACCATCACACAGCGCTTCTGAAACCAGACATTTGCGTGCTCTTCCATAGTGAGCACATCTCTGTGTATACTCCCAGCTTAGCATTTCTAATTTGTCTCAGTTTCAACACCACCTTCTCTGAGAGAACTCCAGATTCACTCTGGGTCTAGTGCACGTCTCCATCTCAGGACCTGTGACAGATTAGCTATAATTAAGGGTTCATAAGGTGTCTTCAGCTTGCTAGAACAGCTTTCATTATAACATTTTAAAGGGTCCAACTGACAAACAGCCAAGTGGAAGAGAAAAATGCAGCAAGCTATTGGATGGAGGCTGAGTGCAGTTGCCCTGTGTATTCTCCCTATAATTTCCCTCCCAGTACCTCCACCTACTCAGCGACCTAGAAACACATCAAGTCTCATTGTTCAAGAGTTTTTTAGATCTCCTTTCCTCCACCATGGGTAAAGCTTAAGGGGCCAAATGTCTCACCTCATCGCATGTCCTGGTGAGAGTCCCTAGATACTTCCTCTGCCTGACTCCATTACTGCATTAGTGTGAGTTGGTTTGATCATAAGGGGCTTATTGGTAGTTACAAAAACAACAACAAATTGCTATAATTTTGAAGCTTCCAGAGGTTTTTAGGAACTTTGTGAAAAAGCAGGAGATAAAGACTGAATATATTTCATAATATCACACAGAAGACTTAGAAAATGCATCAGGAATGGAGGTAACTCTGGAGATTATTTTGTCTTGTTTCAATTAGTAAAGTGAAGCTATATATCTCAGACATTTAAAATTATGCCATTCTTTCTTTCAAGACATTTAAGTATGGCCATCCTTTCATATAATTCACATGCAACTAATTTGAATTGTCGAATGTAAATAAAATAAGTGAAAGATCAAAACAAATCTTTGTTGATTAAATATGAGACAAGAGGTTTATGAAACACTACCTGGCATGAAACTATAATGAAATTAACAGAGATTTGGTTACCTTTCTGAAATTAATTAAATTGTAAGTTCATAATTTTCCAATATTTACCTGACTGGCAAAAGCTAAAATGGTTTCAAATTACATGATTTTTTAAAATGTAACTTTTTATGTTGTTAATTTTACTACAATGAACTTTCTGAGGTATGCATAGTATACAAAATCAACATGATTCTATAAACTCCTTTTGCATCCTTAAATCCTACAAAGATGTTAGTGGGTAAGTTAAAATGATCGCAGTTAAAATGTATGTATATCAGCTTTTTGAGATCTAGCTTATAAACTATCCCTTTACCTCACTGGGATTTCTTGAGTGATTTGAAATTTTGCATAATGTTTGATGAATGAGATTTAAAAAACAAAACACCATGAGGAGTAAAGAAAGTTAAAGGATGATTACCATTTGGTAGCAAGGGAAAAAGGTCATATTCTCCACATTTCAAGTGGACATTGCACCAGGTTCTTTTCTTCCTGTCCCTGATCCAAGGAGCACACGATTTTCTAGTTCATCAGTTATCAATTGTTGTATAAAAACTAGACCAAAATGTAAATCACCAGCAGTTTATGGCTCTAGACTAATCTTGTGATTCTTTGGTTATCTACTGGGTTATTCCTCTGGCTTATGGAATTAAGGCTGATCTCTACTCAGGTGACTTGACTGGGGCTGCATAGTTCATGAAGGTTTCAGCCTTTGGATTTGGCAACTTAGCAGGTCTAGAAATTCTCAGGTGTTAAGATTTGTTTCTGTTTCATTTGGTTCCACTTGATCCATTTGGTTATTAGGCCAGCCTGGGGTGCTACATGATGGAAAGATCCTCAGTTATGAGAAGGAATAAGTCACATGAGGAAAGTGGTTTGTAAGCCAAACATTATGTCCTGTCTACAATTATGCAAACAGGTAAGGCAAATCAATGATCCATTGGAGATATAACTGGTAGACAATGGATCTAACTTTTTATCAAAATCACATACATAAGAAAAAAGAGTTTGTGGCCATTACTTTTTGTAATCTAACAATATATGGTTGGGCAAATATAAGCTTCTTCTTCCATAAACTTACTTAAAAATTCTTTGTAAATGTCAACAAAGTTTTGGTTTCTATGGCAATCAGCTGAAACCTAAATATAGCCTTATTATGAGGGCGATTTTCATAGTTGAAAGCACTTTAATATTTTATCCTCTACTATGCAAGACAATATGTAAGAATAAAATGCGATGATACAAGGAAGTTAAGAAATTTAGTTTTGGGTCAGTTGAAAATGATATGCGTAGCAGTATATCTTGATTATATTACATAAGAACTACCTCTAACCCTATAATGTAGTGTCAATAGGAAGAAAAGGAAAAGAAATTGAACCATGTAAACTGGTATAGTGTTTAAATTGCAGCTTTATCACAGAAAATCTGATAGAAGTAAATCTAGGATTATTGATTAAAAAATGTGTTGACAAAAATACCTAAGCACCTTATCAATTATGCATATAGAGGGATGAATTTTAGTGAGTAGGTGGAAAAATAAACTATAGATAATAGTATGAAGATATCAAGCTAGTGAACATGTTGGCTTTGTTAATGTGCAGGTTAGGGCAATTGGACTTGGTACCACTTTGATGCAAATATCAGGGTCTTCTGCGCTGCATTGTGTAATTCAGTTGTGCAGCCCTTTTGCATTACAGTGAAGGATAACTACTTGTTATTCATTATTTACCCTTTGAGTGAAGGAGTGCAAGTGATTTGTCCAAACCTGGACAAATAATTGGTTGTTGTCCCACTGAGCCTGCACTTAAGAGACATGAAAAGTTAGTTACAATGCAGAAGAAATCAAGCAAGAAAACTCAATGTCCTCCAAAGCTTGAATACCTAATCTTCATCCAATAACTCTTGAATATACTTACTTGGAAGTCTCCTACGCACTTAAACATCAAATTTCACATATATTACTATTTCAAGTCCTTTTATTAGTAAACAGCATGAAAACAATTGACATTGTTTACCTTTGTTTCTTCTCAGCATGGACTGCTTTGATGTATCTAAGATCTTTTGGTTTACTCCTAAATCCCTTGAATTCATTTCACTTTTGCTATTCGTCTTGCCAATTTTCAAATCCTCATCCCTTAATAATCAGATTACAATCATGCCCCTAATTCTAAGACCTCCATCTTAGATGGATCTCTCTAAAATGCAAATTTGATTAGTTTTTATTCTTATAAAACTCCTTTAATATCATCAGGATATCTTTGAGGATAAAAGTTATACTCTTCCTTAAATTAGTCCTTCTGCTAGTCTTTTCCAGTAACACATCTGGTTTTACAAATAATTTGTAAGCTTCAAAATGACTTTGAAGCTAAACTTTGCTACTAAAATATAACATATTACCAACTTATATAAGATATATTTTTTATGATTTTCATATTACTATATAAGCAGATTATTCCTTATTACAACTATGTTTAAAGTTCATAAATTTTCAATGTGCTTATTGCTCATCCATAGTTTCATTGTCTTCTTAACCTTATTTTGATACTCCTATACATTAAGCCTTTTTGTCAATGAGACATGACACCTAAATATTTCCAGCTATTCTGTTAAATAATAAGATACGTAAGGGGAAATATAAAAATAATCGCTTGTTTTTCCAGTAGTTTCCTTAAGTTCTGAAAAGTATCACTTTTTCATTAAGTAGTTAAGCTTCAGTGGACAATCAGATTTCTTGCTTGATTACTTTGTATTATAACTTTTTATGTCTTGTAGGTGCAGCTTTCTGAACTAGCCCATAAGAGTTGGAACTGCACCTTCACACTCAACCCAGTTGTGTGTCACATGTGTACCCTTGGCTGTGGGTGACAAGTGAGGTGCTGATGAGATGATAGTGAACAGACATCATGAAGATTTTACAGTCAGCTGGGGGATGGGAACAAGCACAGAGTTACAGCTGAAATTGATGCACATGGAAGAACTGATAGACTATTGCTTCTGTGAAAATGACTATTTTCAATCACTTGTTTTACAAATACTACTAATTTGAGCCCTACGGGTTTTGCAAAAATGCAATAAGTCTTACTACAATTTAATTTTATGTTGCAGGAAATATTTTGTAATCCAAAGTCATATATTCTAATTACAGGAAGTCATAAATAAGCAAAATAAAACTGTGCACGAGTATTTATAATGTGCCTAATAAATATCAAGTATTGTTCTGTGTATTACCATTAAATTTCTTGTCCTCTCTGTGCCAGACAATGAGAATTGGTTATCCCCAAATATATGTAAAATGACATTTTGATTGAAAGTCAATATTAATAATCACATCATTTTTTTAACAGTGATGATTTTGGGGGCAAGTAAAGGTCATCTGAAACTCTTCATGGATCATACACATCACCCATTCTTTCATAATTATATCTTATTTTTTCTCTTAATTTCCCCTAATATTCAGGTAATTTTTCTGCTTCATCATCTTAGCAATTGTAAAATATTAACATCTTTAATGGGATTAATTCCACCAGATGAAACAATTTATTGCTGTGACTTTGAGGAGAAGCTGAAAAGTTGGGCGAGTTTCCTCAGCTATTTCAGAGACATATTTAAGCAGCTGATCTGAAGATGAACTTCTGGCACTTGAGTCACACTACTGTGATCTGTATTTCAGTGACCATTGTTCTATGAATTGGCACATTCCTGATGACTAAAAAAATTGAATAACAGGTTCAATAAACTGTACTTTTTATTAGCTTTAATTGTATGAACTGTCAGTATCAACATTTGACTCCCATCTTTTAATTTTAGGTGACTTAAGGATACATGATCGTTGGCCAGAAAAACCATATTCACGTCTAACCCATTACCACTGTCTTAGTAGAGAAAATGAGTTATTACCAGGAAAACAAGTTTGGATTTTGTGGTTGATTATAGTATGGCTCTTCTAGTAAAGTACTTGAAGATATCATTAGTTTTATTCAGTAATGTTTATCTTCATACTGGTTTTGACTTTTCTCCTCTCTGAAAATTCTAAAATGAAGTATTACCTTGTAAAAGTCTAGATTTCTTAAACTGTATCTATTTTGACAGCAAACATGGTGAATTATGACACACTGGATCAAGAAACAGGGGTGCTGCTTCCTTTCTCCTGGCAGTGGTTTCCATCCTGAGCTTCATTTCCAGGTTAGAAGATCTGGTGTGACTAGGAAATACACAAAAACCTAAGATGGACCCTATCAGCCTGTATGTATTGTTTACTTTTCTCTCATAGCTGTGGAAAAAGTTCTCGACACCCAAAATGAAGGAAGGAAAGGTTTATTTAGCTCACAATTTGTGGAGGTTTCAGTCTATAATCCTCTGTGTCCAACATAGGTTGCTCATGGAAGAGGACAACAGTTCATGGTGGCAGAAGATGGCAAAAGCAACAGAGTAAAAAGGGAAGAGTACAGAGTTAAGACTCTTTCTGTCCATTATATTGTATGTAAGGCACCCATCCTAGGATGACTGTAGAACTCACACCCATAATCCCAACACTGGATGATGAATTAGTCACAAATTCTAGAAGCTTGCTTCCGTGACCGCATGAGGTTTTGGGGAAACATCTAGACACAATAACAATGCATTTCTATTACTAATGAGAATATTCCATAATATATTGGCTATCTCTTCCTATTTGGGATGAGGAATGCTTAGAACAATTAGAGATTTTTCTTTAGTGTCTATGTGGAAATATGGATGCTTCAGTTTTGTAACGCATGTTCATAGTAAGATAGAGCCAAGGCCTTGGTCTGAAATCTGCAGCTTCATCCAGACAGTCCCCTGAATGTGGATCTGCTATTTCTCTCTCCATCATAGGGGACAAAATAATGTCTGGAATTTCTGAAATAAACTGTAAATTATATTTTATGTGCTTCTTAAACATTTATGCTACTATGAAGTCATAAAACCAACAACTATTTTCATCCTGTAGAAAAAGCCAAACACTATTCTTGTTTCTGAGGTTACACTAGTGAATGAAATAAAGGGTTCTTCATAATGGAGCTTGTAAATTTGTTGTATTTAGAAATAAACATTCATGGATGATGTGTTAGTGCTCTGTTATGGCATATGATTTAACTGAGTTGTGATTATTTAAAGAACAGGGATTACACACTTTTCTTTTTATAGTTTGACTATCAAAGATGTAGTCAAAAGTTATCGGAAATGCCAACTTTTCAAACATTTTAGCTTAGCTTGTACACAGGCACTAGGAAACAAGCAAAACTCAGACCATACCTGCCATTTCCTTTGTTGTGTCACTATATATGTGACAATTCTTAGAGTCGTAGCAATTGTCACTGAAATCAAACATCTAATATTGATGGTCACATGTTTGGGATGATATTCAGGTCACTTACTGATATGCATGTCTCACAGTTCCTGATGACAGAATGATGGGAACTTGGCAATGATTCTCATTTTTATAATCAGATCTGTAGGTGGCAAAGTGAATGCTACTGATGGTGTGAAAAGATTTTAAGTTTCCATTCCTCAGCTTGTACACAGTATTTATTCCTTGGACTCCTTTTTTATTCCTTCCCAATAGTCTAAGTTTGATAGTCTTTGTTATTGGTAATGATATTGAAATGGAAAATGAGCCCTATTTTACTGTAATAATCTTGTAAGCGTGTGCTTTTCCCCTCTCTGTATATGCAACTTGTGCAGATATACAAATTACAGTTCATGACTGTTTGAAAATATTGCAAAATACATACCTGGTAAGACTGTTAGGTGAGTTTTTCATCTCTTGTTGCTAATGAGGAAAATGACTCAGTGCTTTACTGTGTCTAAATAATTAATCTAAATGGAGAAGTGATGTCAGTTTTATGAACACTCCCTAGAGAAGCTGGGGCCCAGACTCTCTGGAAGGAAGACTAGGAATGGTATAGCAAGTTAGACAGGACTAAATGTTTCTCTGCAACAAGAATTGGAAGGCAACGTTATCAATTCTTGTGAGCCAAATGTTAATATAACAATATACAGGACAAAAAGTCCACTGAAGCAAAGGGACAAATAACAGAGGGAGACATCACAGGGCATTCAAAGATTTTTGAAGTTGATTCTGTTGATCTGATTTAGATAAAGACTATGTCAGCTGGCCAGATAGCAAGCTCTGCCAAGTAGAAAGGCCACAGAGGTATGAAAGTTGGCAAGTTCTGCTATTTCACTGTAACCACCAGCAATGAGATGAGACCACTAACCAATCAGAAACATGAAGCAATCAGAACTGTGTTTTAAACGTATTAATGTTGATGTACAGTGAAGACCTACGTTGTGCTGGTAAATCAAACAAAGCATTTGTCATTTTCTGAAGGACAGATAGTTTTTCAGTGTCCATTTTTAAGCTCAAATGATTTGATATCCACTGAAAAGTTTTCTGAATATTTAACGTTTGGTTCACAAGAAGCAGCAGGAGCTAGCTGTTATGCTGTTCTTTCTTTTTGATCCTTCAAGATCAAGGGTAGGCCATCTTGATTGAACACTGTTTCTGTAATTCATCATTACAGTGTGGATCATGATAGACAAACAAATACATGTGTACAGAAAATGGGGAAGCAGATTTTACCCAGGGCATAAAGGCAAGTAGATTGAATTGCAGTTTAAAAATCGTGATTGGAAAAGACCTGACTGAGGTAGAGAAGGGAAGGGAAAAAATGACTCATAAAGAATGAGCTGAGGAATCAAATTTGGTATGGGTTACACTGAAGTGGAGACGCACATAAGATAATTCTTAAGACACAGAATTTAAAATGATTAGAGAAAAGTCTTGGAGAAGGTGATTGATGATGGAATAAAGAACATAACCAACAAATATTCTTTTATTGAAGGAGGAGAGAGAAAGAGAGGGAAGGTAAGGATCTTGACAACTTGTAGTTGTCCTAGAAATAGAAAGAGTTGTTGGACAGGGTTCCTGATTTGCTCAGCAAACCTGGGAGGCACAGTTATTTCCTGAGGCTGAAGTATAAGGGAAGGTTTAGGGTTATTCATTAAGGTAAATCACTAGGATAGACAGCTGAGAACAGCTTCCTAGGGAGTACCAATGGCCCTAGGGAAATTAAATTGTAGTGGTTTTGATTCAGTGCTTTAATGTATTCACACCTTTTTAGTTATAGACAATATTACTAAATATTCTCTAGGATAATATTCTTTAACTCATGATTTCCACTTATTCCAGTGTAGTCTTCTGATAAGAAACAAATAATTGGGCTGGGGATTTAGCTCACTGGCATAAGCACTTGCCTTGCAAGCAGGTGGTCGTGAGTTCGATCCCTGGTACCGATTAAAAAAAAAAAAAAAAGAAAGAAAGAAACAAATAATTGCATATTCATACAGCAAATACCATTTGTACTACATTTTTTCTAAGAGTTTTATGTATTTCTCATTTCTCACGATTGAAGTCTGCTGGCAATCCCGTGAGGCAGGTACTGTTATTTTCTCATTTACAAGTGAGGAAAATATGACCCTGAAATATTACTAAGTTCCCCAGGTCATAGGACACAGTTGAGATTACAACTAGTTCCATGGGCTTCACAAACAAGAACCTTTGGTTGGTTTACATACTCTCACTGTAGATTCATACCAATATATAGTGATTACAAGCAAATCTCTGTGATTTCATCTTTTTTAAAAAATTTTTATCATTATGTGAGTCAAACTAAGAACCTGTAAACTCAAAACAACAAAACTGAGGCAATAATGAACACTTTAAAGTTCTACTTATTGGTACGTGGGAAAATTACAGAAACAGTCATAGCGCAGTCTATAAAGAAAGGGAGAAATATTTTCTATGATAGACTATGTAAAATGTTTCTCTTATTCAAACAGCACAATACATACATTCCCTTTTATACCAGCACAGAAGATTACTCTCATGTAATGTCATACAGCCATGGAATTTGAGAAGTTAACTGCAGAATCAATAGAAATGTAAAGGTAATGCTTAAATTATATGAACATATGTGATGAATACTAGGTTTTAAGGATTAGATTTAGTGTATATTGAGATATCTCTGAAATTAGTACATTACTTCTGTTACATCATTGACTTTAAGAAAAGTGTCAAAGGGAAAAACATAGTACTGTAGTGGTCACGGTTATATACTTCACTGACGTTTAAAAACAAAGGGTCAAGTATAATCTATGGTTTCTATGTAATCTCTTATACTAACTTAATATTTATTATTTATGATGACTTTATTAATTATCACTTATCAATTAAAAACTAACATTTAACTATGAACTATTAACTATTTAACTATTAAATATTAACTATTCTAAATAAGTAACAAATAGACCAAACTAAAAACTATAACTAAGACTTTAGTGGCCAGAAATGGCTGGTACAAAATTCTCACAAAACAAGCCTCACTGGTGAATTCCACGCCATAATAGTAACATTATACCTTATGTCACATTTTAAGTTATATTAATATTATACTTCACTCTACAATTTTCTCTTCCTTGGTTTTAGTGAATGGTTAGCTAAGAAGTAGGGCTTTCAGAATTTGCTACTATTATCTGTGATACTACTCAGCTGGCTGGGAATACATACATCAGCATTACTGTAGCAGTCGTAGCAGCTCACAACTATTTAAAAACATCAACCCAAAGAACATCGTGCTTTTTAAAATGGCCTGTGGCATCCTAAGTTCATTTATATTTTATTAGCTACTAATTCAGTAATGTGCTACATTTTGGTGGATCTAACAACACAAACAATGAGTTTGAAATAACTTTATGGTGCTTAAAGATGAGAATTTGGTACATTTGTAAAGTGTTTTCCCATCTCTTTTTTTATCCCATTAATTCATACCAGGTATTAGGTTAGTTTGACAAATATCATTAAGTTAATGCTACT